CCCCACACCATTGATGCCACCTGCTAGCCCCCAGATTATTAATATTTTTAAAATTATTATTATAATTTTAATTTGCCATAGGGCACATGCACTCACCAGAAACACAGACACACACAGAGGGAGAGAGAAAGAAAGAGAGAGAGAGACAGAGAGAGAGAGAGAGAGTAAGCAAACTGCCCGGTCCGGAACTCGATCCACAGTTGGCCAGGTGGGAGTCCAGTGTTTTCCTGCACCTTTTCAATAAGTGGATCTCTTCCAACCCCCTGAAAAGAGAAGTCAGTGGCCCAGGAGGGGGTGCCCAGCAGAGGGCTAGCTGTGCCCACTGTCTTGCTGTCTCAGGCCAGGTGTGGACCTGTCCCAGCGGGGCAGTAGTGGTGGCCTGGACCCCTGGAATTGTGTTCAGGCTGCCAGTGGCCCCAGAGACCAACTCCTTCCTGCCAGGGTATCCTGCACAGCCGGGTCCAGGGCCTCACCTGTCATTGGCCACGGGCAGGGCGATCTCGAACTTGGCCAGGAACTGGAAGTACTGCTCTTCTGTCTGGCGCGTGAAGCCCGTCCCAACCAACAACATCCTGAGGTCTTCTGCACGGATCACCCCGTTCTTCGCCACGGAGCGCGAGCTCTTGATGTTAATGATCCTCTGTAGGCACTCGGAGAGCCAGATGGGGTCGAGGAAGTAGAGGTTCCTCAGGCCATGGCTGGTGTCCGGGAAGTGCAGGAGGGTGCCGGTCTGTATGAGGAAGCTGATGGCTGCCCGAGAACAGGAAGCAGCATTAGTCCAAGCAGACGGTGAGACGTCCCCAGAGACCGTGCTCCCAAACACTTCCCAGGGAGAAAGCAATTGGGACATGCTGGGCCCTGCAGCCTGGGTAGACAGCCTGACTCCGGGTTCTCTGATGACACCTCATGACCCTACCAACGACCTGAGCCGACGGCCAACTGGTCAACCACAGCCCAACCTCATTGTTCATAGGTGCATCTTTGCAAATGTATCTCATCGCTAAAGTTTATTTGGGGCCCCGAAATCGATATTCAAGGTGTTTCTTAAGAGTTTTTGCTAGAAGGTGTGTGTGCTTGCTGGAGAGAAAGAGACAGAGACAGAAAGCAAGAAATCAGCTCCCCCAGGAGGATGGCCACGCCATAATCCCTTCTCCTCCATTCTGCTCCTGCAATTTTGGGCACACGCATGCACGCCTGCGTGTAATTTGCAAGCTGCCAGGTCCAGGACTCAAACTGCAGTTGACCATGTGGGAGTCTAACGTCTTAAGCACCATGCCACCAGCTGGCCCCACAAGGTGTCTTTAAGCATATACGCATAATACGAGGTTCACGTTGGGTGAATGAAAATCTGGCAAACAGAGCCTGGCAGGACCCTAAACCTGTCCTTCCCCAGGAATGAATCTCCGGCTACCATGGAGAGTTAAGGATCCATGATAGGGTCTGACCTCTGCCTGCCCAGTGGTCCTGGAGGTCAGGGACAAGTCCTCTCTGTTTTTTTATCTATTTTAATTTTGGGCCAGAGAGAGACACAGAGAAAGAGAGGGAGAAAGTGAGAAAGTCAGTCACCCCGTCCAGGACTCGAACCGTGGTTGACCATGTGGGAGTGTCCAGTGCCTTAACCATTATGCTACCTGCTGGTGCCCCTCTCTACTCTTAAAGATGTCCTTAAATCCTTAGAGGCCAGTGCATATGCTGCCACAGATTAGCTGTGTTCTTTTTCTCTCTCTCCAGGGAGAGAGGGGCAGGGTGGGGGCGTGTGTGAAAACATTTCATTCACTATATGCTGCCCTGCGGTGCTGAGGGTCAAGCTAGTGTTATTAGGTATAGAAGTCTCTGTTTCGGGACCAGCAGGTGGCCTGGGGTTTAAGGCACTGGACACTCCCACATGGTCGACCATGGTTCGAGTCCTGGACCTGGCAGCCTGCTTTCTCACTTTCCCTCTCTCTCTTTCTCCCTGTCTCTTTCTGGTCAAACTAAAATAAATGAGTGAATAAATAAAATTAAATAAATAATCCTAAAAAATTAGAAAAAAAAAAAAAGAAGAAGGTTCTGTTTCTTTTTTTTTGAGAGAGAAATTTTTGGTGTAGGGGGGGCATGTGCTTCCAGAGAGGCAGAGAGAGACAGAGAGATAGAAAGCGAGAAATCGCTCTCCCCCCAGGGGATGGCCACGCCGCAATCCCTTCTCCATTTCCTCTTGGGATCTTGGGCGTGCACGCACACGCGCCCGGCGTGAGTTTTAGCCACCGGGTCTGGGACTAGAACCGTGGTCGACTGCATGGGAGTCCAGCAACATAGCCATTACGCCATCTGCTGGTCCCGAAGGCTCTGTTTCTCACAGGCACCTGGCTCTACCCTCCGCCCAGCTCCCCGGGGCCCCCATGCCCGGGCTCGCACGCCGCCCACCAGACTGCAGGTCCTCATAGTCGTTGATGTCGTTGCCGGGGGTCTGCGCCACCAGCTGCTCCAGCTGCCTGTCGGTCAGGTACTGCACCTCGTCCGCCAGGCTGCGGCGCTGCTGCTCGGCCAGCACGGCCTCCTGCAGGCTCAGGTAGCTCCGCGGGATCTGGAGGCGGGTGGGGACAGGTGGGCAGAGCTGAGCCAGCGTGCAGCCCCAGTGCTGCAGCCCTCACCCTGCCCTGCATGAGGAAAAAAAAACTCTTCCTCACGGCCTGCCACCCCTGCCTTCCCTACGGAGAGTCACTGAGCCTTAGGACTCAGACAGTGTTTTATAGCGGAGAGGAGGGCTCGGACGTCCCCTCCCACCTTTTTTATTTATTTATTTTTGGCCAGGGAGTGTGTGAGCTCACCAGAGAGAGACAGAGACAGAGAGAGAGAGAGAAAGCACCCTTCAATGGAGCGTGGTCACCCAGTAATGTCTTCTCGTCCATTTCTCCCTCCTGTCCAGCACACGCACGCACACGCACCTGGAAGGCCTTTCCTTTTTATGAGAGAGATTTTTGCTAGAAGGTGTGTGTGCTTGCTGGAGAGACAGAGAGAGACAGAGAGAAGGAAAGCGAGAAATCACCCCCAGGGGGGATGGCTACACCGCAATCCCTTCTCCTCCATTCTCCTCTCGGGATCTTGGGCACGCACACACACCCGGTATGAGTTTCAGGCAACCCCCACCGGGTCTGGGACTTGAACTGGCAGTCAACTAAGAAGGAGCCCAGCAACATAACCATTATGCCATCTGCTGGCCCCAGGCCCCTCTGTGGTTTTAACCGAATAAACAAGGTACCCACCAGCCTCCCAGCGAGCCTCTGGCAGCCGATGGTGCTGCCCACGTCCTTCATGTTACACGTGACGTCGAAAATCAGCTGCCGCAGCCCTTCCAGGCCTTCCAAGCTCTTGCATGAAACCTCGCTGCATAAACAAAGAGTTCCGAGTTCAATCCCCCGCCACCCGCCTCTGAGGAAGCACGGGGTTTTTCCCCTGAGAGGTGTGTCCCGGGCACTGGCAAGGCCAGAGGACTCATGAGAAATGACACGAGGAGTGTATGTCCTTATTTTGTGCAAAGCACTGTCCTTGATGTCACCCGATCTGTCTTCCCAGCATGCCTAGCGAGGCCCAGCGGCAACGTGAGCCCTAAGGACATGAGCTGGGAAGAGCGGACCGGGGGGAACCGGGGCTCTGATCCAGAGTGAACCCCTCTGTTCCCACAGACCCCACGGGGTTCTTGAGGTGCATCAGGAACCCTGGAGAGCTTGTCTTGCATCCTGAGCCCTGCCCGTCCCTGGTCCTGCACCCACAGCGAAGGAACCAGGCTCCACCGTGCAGCCGGCCGGGACTGCGGACTTAATCTGCCGAGCCTCCGTTTCTCTGTCTGCAGGGTGGGCACGGCAACCCCCATAGCTTGGAGGGCTGTGGTTGAGAGTCCAGTGACAGAAAATGAGTGAGTCACACCCACAGCAGCCACCACCCCATCCCGATCCCCCACCTCACAGCCTTCTCCCTTGCCCCAGACCCTCCCAGAGCTGTGACCGCTCGGACCCAGCGTGAGAGCTGGGATCACTCTCTCCTGGGGTCTGCCCTGGGTCAGTGACTAACAATCGGAGTGAGGGGTGTCTGAGTTCCCATCTTGTCCCCATCCCATGGGCTCTGCCCAGTTAGACCTCGGGTCCTTGGTCTTCTGTCATGTTAGCCAAGCTGCCACCTTTTGCCCTGGAAGGGGCTCACAGCAGCCCAGACGTGACCTCATGAACCATCCGCAGACAGGTCCCAGGGAAGACCCTTAAATTAGCGCCCGGCGGGTGCATGTGGGTAGGAAGGGGCGGCAAGAGCTGGGGACACTCACCGTAAGTGCTTGACAGTGATGTCCGGGAAGCCCGTGGCTCTGGACCCCGAGGGCGAGCGGCAGAGGGCCAGCACGTAGGCCCGCAGGGTGGCGATCCTCTCCCCGCGGAACTTGGCTTCGATTAAGTCCAGGTGCGTCCCCACCACCAGTACGACGGCATTGGGGGCCTTGGCCTGCGGTAGAGACCCCCCACCACTGAGACCCTCTCCATCAGCTGAACCGTGGATGTAAAACGCAGCTGGCCACACCGGCGTGCCTGCCCCAGACACCCGTGGCCCTCGGCGGCCACCACCCTGCACTCGGCACCCAGGCGGCCCACGCTCTTTGCGTTCTGTGTCTCGTGTGCTTCGAGGGGTGTCTTGGGCACTCCCGAGCTCATTCTGTGAGGAGGATTTCTAACCTTATAGATATCCCAATAGCCCCTTGGGCAGGGGGCCTGTGTCCAGAACTCAATGCCTTTATACCTGGGAGGGGAGTCCGACTTTGGTTGTGCATTTAGGAGTAGGGGTTCTCGGGACCAGCAGTTGGCATAATGGCTATGTCGCTGGACTCCCATGTAGTCGACTGCGGTTCGAGTCCCGGACCTGGTGGCTTAAACTCACACCAGGCGTGTGTGCGTGCGTGCCCAAGATCCCGAGAGGAGAATGGAGGAGAAGGGATTGCGGCGTGGCCATCCCCTCTGGGGGGTGATTTCTTTCTTTCTGTCTCTCTGGCTGGCTGGCGAGTGCACATGCCCTATAGCAAAAACCTCTCCAAAAGAATAATCCATGTTAGTCGTGTGTGTGCATATGTGCCCAAAATCTCAAAGAGAGAATGGTGGAGAAGGGACTATGGCATGGTCATTCCCCTGGGGGTTGGGAGGGCTTTCTCATTCAGTGAGCGCACACACTCTATATCAAAATAAAAATAAAATTAAGGTAAACAAACAAAAACATGGCAAGACCATTGCTAACCCTTGAGCTGAGGGCATTTTTTATTTGTTTGTTTGTTTTTGTTTTTGCTATAGGGCATACGTTCTTGAGAGAGAGAGAGAGACAGAGAGACAAAGAGAGAGAGAGAGTTGGAAAGCACTCTCCAGGGGGCGTGGCCACCTGCAATCCCGTCTTCATTCTCCTCTTGGGATTTGGGGCATGTATGTATGTGTGTCCAGTGTGATTCTCAAGCCATGGGGTTCAAGACTCAGACTCTAGGGACCAGCAGTTAGCGTAATGGCTGTGTTGCTGGACTCCCACGTAGTCGACTGTGGTTCGTGTCCTGGACCTGGTGGCTTAAAACTCACACCGGGCGCGTGTGCGTGCATGCCCAAGATCCTGAGAGGAGAATGGAGGAGAAGGGATTGCAGCGTGGCCATCCCCCCTGGGGGGTGATTTCTCGCTTTCTGTCTCTGACTCTGTCTGTCTGGCGAGCGCACGCGCCCTATAGCATAAACTTCTCCCTCCCACCCCCCCAAAAAAGACTCAGACTCTAAAACTGGCCAGATGGGATCTAGCGCCTTCACCTCCATGCCACCTGCTGGCCCGAGCTCAGGGAGATTTGAAGGACCTCACGGTGAACGCGACTCGGGTCCCCTTGCATGCTGAGTGTTTCTCCCGAATGTTCTCAGTACTGGGGGTCCCCAGAGTATTGGTGATTCCTCTGACGCTCTGAGACCCACGGACCGCCAGGGGCTGGTGCATTCTTACCTCGATGTTGAGTAGCCAGAACTGGAGGCTGGCCACGGCCTCCTCGCCCAGTGCCAGGTTCCAGACCACCACATACAGGGCCTTGTCCGTGAAGAAGCACTGGTTGACGGTGGCCATGCTGGCCGGGCCCCCGATGTCCCAGACGTTGAACTCCACAGACTCAACCTACTTGAGCGAGAAGGGCAGCAACAGGGACGCATCTCAGAGACTGAGCTTTAGGTCCGTCCTGTGAGGATCACCTTACGTGCTGTACTTTGGGGCTTGAAAGAGAGAAACCGTGGAAGGGCTGGGCTACCTTCATGGTTCCTTTTTCTAAAAAAAATCATTTATTTTACCGGCAGTTGGTGTAATGGCTATGTCGCTGGACTCCCATGGAGGTGACCATGGTTCAAAGTATTCAATGTAGCCATTATGCCATCTGCTGGCCCTTGAAAATGCACAGCTGTTTGAAGCCGGGGAAAGGCCAGCCACACAGGGCATTAGGGCTCTGCGTTTGCTGGTGGAGGCCCTTCAGCTAAAGGCTGGGAGTGAGGGGGAAAGATGGGACCAGCAGTTGGCGTAATGGCTGGGTCGTTGGGCTCCCATGTAGTCAACTGCAGTTTGAGTCCTGGACCCAGTGCGTGTGCGTGCGTGCCCAAGATCCCGAGAGGAGAATGGAGGAGAAGGGATTGCGGCGTGGCCATCCCCCCTGGGGGGTGATTTCTTGCTTTCTGTCTCTCTGTCTCTCTCTGTCTCTCTGGTGAGCACATGTGCCCTATAGCAAGAATCTCCAGTGAAAGCATGTGACCTGTGACCAAAATCTTAAAAAGAAGAAGAAAAGCAAAGGAACGGTTTGCAGGCCAGCTGATGGCATGCCACTGAAGGCACTGGATCTCACATGGCTGACTGCAAGGTTCAAGTCCTGGACCCGGCAGCTTGGAAAACATGCCAGGCGTGTGTGCGTGCGTGCCCTTAATTCCGAGAGGAGAGTGGAGGAGAAGGGACTGCGGCGTGGCCATCCCCCTCGGGGTGATTTCTCACTTTCCCTCTCTCGCTTTTTCTCTCTGTAGCTAGTGCAAGCACCCTAGAACAAACTGAAAGCAAAAACAAACAAAAACAGAAAGCAAGAAGCTGTTTGTTGTTTGCTCCCCTTGGTAGAAAACGCTTTGAAATAGACAGGAGCCCTTACAAACATCCTGGGCCTTGTACACCAGGTTGAGAAAAGCCTAGACTCTCTGGGGAGGAAGGAGAAGAGGCCCGTGGAAGGTCCCGCCCCCATCCCCTGCTCCCCACCCCCAGGACCCTTGACACCAACCGTCCTCCACCTTCGCTTTGGAGCCAGCTGGCCTCTGGAGCTCCCACTTGGTGGTCCTGATGGTGGCTTCGCCGTGCATGCCCTGGGGGGCCCTCCCTGTCTGTAGGATCTCCAGGAGGGCGGACTTGCCCTGGCGCGGCGGCCCCACGATGATCATCTTCATCAGCTTGCAGCGCTCGGCCTTCCGGAGGTGAGCGCGCAGGTAGGACAGCATGGCTTTGGGACCTGTGCGGACGGCAGAGGGGGACAGTGCTGCTGTCATATACACGGGAACAGCCTCACCCTGTGCAGGAAACATGCCTGTCCCGGAGGGACCCTTCCTGCGAGCTCTAACAGGGCCGTGAGGGAAGATGGTTGGATCTTTCAACAGGTAAGGGGAAGTGGTGGTATTCATCACGCCAAAAGGAAGATTGACAGTCAAGAATGACAGGACAGGGCCAGCAGGTAGTGTGGAAGTTAGAGCGCTGGATCCCTCATGACTGACTATGTGGTTTGAGTCCTGGACCCACTGGCTTCAAAATCACGCTGGTATGGGGGACAGCCACCTGGTGGCATAGCAATTATGTCTCTGGATGTAGCAGACCACAGTTTGGGTCCTGGACCCGGTGGCTTAAACTCACTCTGGGCGCGTGTGCGTGCGTGCCCAAGATCCCGAGAGGAGAATGGAGGAGAAGGGATTGTGGCGTGGCCATCCCCCTTAAAACAAACAGAAAGAACCACATAGGTTTGGGGACCAGCAGGTGGCATAATGATTACATCACTGGACTCTCATGTAGTCAACCTTGATTTTAAGTCACCCATGACTTAAAACTCACGCTGGACGTATGTGTGTGTGTGTCCAAGATTCCAGGAGGAGAATGGAGGAGGAGGGATTGTGGTGAGTCCATCCCCCCTGGTAGGGGGCGATTTCTCACTTTCCCTCTCTCTGTCTTTCTCCAGCAAGCTTACGTGCCCTATGGCAAAGAAAAAAGAAAAAAGAAAAAAGAAAAAAGAAGCCCATAAAGAAAATCATGCTGGGCGTGTGTGCATGCATGCCCAAAATCTTTTTTTTTTTTTTTTTAGAGGTTTTCGCTATAGGGCGCGTGCGCTCGCCAGACAGACAGAGAGAGACAGAGAGACAGAAAGCGAGAAATCACCCCCAGGGGGGATGGTCACGCCGCAATCCCTTCTCCTCCATTCTCCTCTCGGGATCTTGGGCACGCACGCACACGCGCCCGGTGTGAGTTCTAAGCCACTGGGTCCGGGACGCGAACCATGGTCGACTTCGTGGGAGTCCAGCGACATAGTCATTACGCTAACTGCTGGTCCCAGCCCAAAATCTTGAGGCAAGAAAAGGAATTGCAGCGTGGCCGTTCCCCCTGGAAGGTGATTTCTCACTTTTGCTCTCTATCTCTGGCAAGCACACATGCCTTACAGCAAAAACCAGAAAAAAAGAAAAATAAATAAATAGAAAGGAATGAAAGGACATCGTTGCCCCCTAAGTGGCCACGCATGGTTTTACACAGTCGCTCCCAGTGTAATGACCCTCGGCAGCTGCTGCTTACAGGACAACGTTACGGCATCTTCCCAGACACGTCATGGAGCTAGAGTTGGCCTGCATGGTCACCTGCTGTGTCCACCCCCAGGGCTTAACGAGTGGCCTCGAGTGCAGCCCCCAGGAGGTGATGCCCCCTCCAAGAGGGGCCGGGGTGGAGGAAGGCCTACCTTCCTTCTTGATCTCTGCAGGCATGTTGCTGATGTTCAAGTCTTCCGTGTCCAGCTGCCAGAGGTTGCTCAGCTGCCCCAGCTCGGGAGGGAGCTCTCGGAGGCCAGGGTTACTGAGAACACGTGTGTCCATCAGGAGGGAAAACACACGTGTGCATGCACGCGCACACACACACACGCACACGTACGCAGTTCCCATCAGCCTGCCTCTGCAGCCTCCAGGGGCAGCTGATGGCCCACATCTCAAGTCCCACGTCTTGAGTCCTGATTCTACCATCCTATTTAAACAGTAATTGCAAAGCCTTGTGCCCTGGGAAGTCAGCGGTAGGGACGGTACTTGTGTCTCCTGCGAATCCCCATTTGGAAATGGGTCTCTGCCCCCCCGCCCCCAAGAGCCTGTCTCTTTAATAAACTATACTTCCATAAAAATGGTAGTCTAGAGGGATTAGCAGATGGTATAATGGTTACGTCGCTGGACTCCCACATAGTTGATCATGGTTCAAGTCCTGGCAACTTGCAACTCAAAACAGGCACATGTACGTGCGTGCCCAAGATCCCGAGAGGAGAATGGAGAACGGATTGTGGCAAGGCCACCCCCACTGGGGGCTGATTTCTCGCTTTTTGTCTCTCTATCTCCTTCTGTCTCTCTGGCAAGCGCATGCACCCTATAGCAAAAATCTTTCCATAGAGAAAATAATGGTACTAGGGGCAGGCAAGTGGTGTGGTGGTTGAGGCGCTGGACTCACATGGCCAACTGTGGTTCAAGTCCCAGACCTGGCAGCTTGCTTTCTCACTTTCTCTCTCTCTCTCTGATCAAATTATTATTATTAATAAGTCAAATTTAAATAAATAAATAAAGTTAACTAAAATGAGTCTTAAAAAAAATTTTAAATAACAACAAACGGAAATAAGTAAATCTTTAAAAAAATGTGTTTTCGATCCTTGCCACATTTTACACGCTGTCTACGATCACAGATGGCACCTGGCAGGCCGTGGGTGCTCTGCGAGTGACAGGATGAGCGATCAGCCAGTTCTCAGAGAACCCGAGCGAAGCAGCAAAGGTGTGTCATTGCATCCCCCACTGCGTCGTCCCCTCCCCACTTTCCTGGTCAAGCCCAGCTCTGAAAATTCTGAAAAATCCCACTGCTGCTTCTTAGGAGCTAGCTGGTCTTCCTGCAGGCTGTGGGTCCCCCCTGGTTCATGGGAGGGTGCTTGGGCGTGCTTGGGTGCACTTACTTCCCCAGGTAGAGCTCCGATAAGCTTTTCAGCAGGCAGACCGAAGGGGGCACGGCATCGAGGTGGTTGTCGTTCAGACAAAGGACTTCCAGGGACTCACTGAGGAAGGCTGGGAATTCCAGCACGGATGCTGCAGAGCGGTAAGAAAACAGAGAATAAATTGTAAAATGACCCCGGACCCTCCCAACACGGACGCCAGGGATTGGGTACACGGGCGTTTTGGCAAATGTATCTGAATTAAATGCTCATGTCATTGGGGTCAGCAGGTGGCGTGGTGGTTAAGGCACTGGATTTCCACATGGCGACTCTGGTTCAAGTCTGGGACTCGGAAGTTCATGCTGGGCATGTGTGTGTGTGTGTGTGTGTGTGTGTGTGTGCATGTGTGTACCCAAAATCCCAAGAGGAGAATGGAGGAGAAGGGAGGGTTTCCTCACTCTCCTTCTCTCTGTCTCTCTCCAGCAAGCTCCTGAGCCTGTGGTAAAAACCTAAAAAATAAGGATTTGCAGATGGCAAAATGGTTATGTCACTGGACTCCCACGTTGTTGACTGTGGTTCGAATCCTGAACCCGGTGGCTTAAAACTCACACTAGGCATGTGTGTGTGCGTGCCCCAAATCCTGAGAGAATGGAGGAGAAGGGATTGCGGTGTGGCCATCCTTCCTGGAGTGGGGTGGGGGGGCTGATTTCTTGCTGTCTCTCTCTGTCTCTGTCTCTCTGGCTAGTGCCCGTGCCCTCTGGTGAAAAATCTCTGGAAAAAAACCCACAAAACTTAAAAGACAAATAAAATAAAATAAACGTTCATGTCATTGACCTGGCGACTCTGATTCTATGGAAGTCCTTACATGCTCGTGTGGCGGTCAGGGACAGTCAGGGACACGCGGTTTGTGATGTAAAAATAGAGGGTGACCCCGAGGCTCAGCCACAGAGGAGCTCAGGGAGGAGGGGTTCTATCTAACCATCAGACAGCCTCAGTCCACGCCTGGTCGGAAGCGATGCTCGTGCGGGCGAACAGAGAAGGTGACACGTGCTTTTTCTTCTTCTTTCCTTCCTTCCTTCCTTCCTTTCTCTCTCTCTCTTTCTTTCTTTCATTTTTTTGAGGAGTTTTGCTTTATCTCTATCCCTTCTACCCTTCTCTATCATCCTCTATTAATTATTTAATTTAATTTATTATTACTTTTTTAAAAAAGAATTATATTTAACTTTATTTTATGTGCTTATTTATTTTAATTTATGAGAGAGAGAGAGAGAGAGAGAGGGAGAGAAAGAGAAAGTGAGAAAGCAAGCCACCAGGTCTGGGACT